TGACGTGAGTGAGGTCAAACCATAGGGTTAAACGAGCATTGCGTAAGCATGCATAGAAATGGACGTTTGATTTGTGTTTTCGGTCCTCCCAAAGAAGTGCAAGTAACAAGGTCATTTTTGATTCGTAACTGTAATGTGATTACTGACGTTATCAACAGTAATGCGTTACATTACTGCGTTACAGACAAATGTACATGTTACCCCCAACACTGTAAAACAGAGACTACAAAAAGAGTTAAAACAAGGCTGGTGACATTTAGTGACTTTTCCTAAAGTCTATTCCAGAAAGAAAGGAGGAGAGCAATAAAAAAAAAGAACTTAATTTTTTTTATTTTCATACCTTATTGTCAGAATGTACTTACAAAAGATGGTCTTACCACCTATGTATACACACTATGGTACACATACACACTCAGAGAGAGTTAGTTGTGGTCTATGTCTTGTGGGCACTGTAGTTAAGAGAGTTTCTTGCTGAGATGAATATATCTGAACTCTGACTGTGTGTCCTTCTCTGCAGAATTTATCTTTGTTTGACTTCTAGCAGTTATCTAGTTGACCTTGTGAGTTCACTTGGAAACAGTGAACTGACAGCCCACACAGCTCCTTCCATAGATTCATGTTGTTTTATTTTTATTAATATCCAGTTAATATTATGTGTATGTGAATGTAACATACATGTTTTAATGAGCTGTTTAGTCATTGCTTTAATGCTGCATCATATCATGTTTTGTGTTTAATGAACATGATCAAAAATGCGTAGTTTTCCTCTTACCTGTAGTGCTATTTATTGTCTTGGTGTGAGTTGCTCAGTTTTGGAGATGTCAGCCTTCTCTCCAATATAATGGAACCAGATGGAGCTCAGCTTGTGCTACTCAGTGTGCAAGAAAAAAAACATACATCAATGTCTCTTTTTAAAAATCATGACCCTGTTATTCAAGATAATCTACAGACCTTGTTGTGATGGAGACTTCCATTTGCACAGTGATACGTAAAAAAAATAAAATAGTTCCGTCATGAAACTGTTCACAACATCTGTTAACTGAAATTGTGTAGACCAGAACTGTGTTTATAAACTGGCTGATAAATAATGTCACAAAACAGCCCATATTATAGATATATACATTTTCCTGTAAATGTATGATAATAACTAATAAGGGGTTAGATTTTACGTTTTTTAATCCTTCAAAATATGGCTTTTTTTTCATGTTTACCAAAGGGAGGATTTTGTACAATTTCAAATGTATTTCCAGAAAAACAGTTCTCTGGAGTTCGAACAGAAATGTTAGTAGGTCTAGTTGAACTGGCCATCAGTAACTTTCCACTTTTTAAGTGGCTGCTCTCCCTGTTTTCCCTTTACTGAGGCAGCAGACCTCGTCCTCACTTGACCTCGCCCTGGGCTGTGCTGTTGAACTGTGACATCATGAAAAGTTTAGTCTTTGTTTCATTTTTAAACTATCTGTTATTATCAGACAGTACCATAAGGCTACTAATGCATTCAACTCAGAGGTTACTCAGACAAACAAAGTGTGTATATTGTATACAATATACAGTGAAATACAGTATAGTTTAATGAACATATACAGAGTCAGAGTAGCATGTGAAGTGTAACTTTTTCTCCTCTTGCCCTCTCATCTATATACAGGTTCGTTTGGAATGGCCCACAGATCTAGCCATCAATCCCATGGATAACTCCATCTACGTCCTGGACAACAACGTTGTGCTGCAGATCACTGAAAATAGACAGGTATTTTGTGTATCCATCTTGACAGCACTGCATGTGTACAAATTTGCCACAGGTGCTGCTTTGTGTATTAATTGATTTAATGAACATAAGAAAACCATAGGAATGAATGAAATAGCTTCATCCATCTTTGCAAATCAAAAAATATGAATGTTAATTATATATTCATGTATGTGTGTGTTCAGGTTCGTATCGTGGCAGGTCGCCCAATGCACTGCCAGGTGCCTGGTATAGAATATACTATGGGGAAGAGAGCGGTGCAGACCATGCTCGAGGGAGCGACAGCCATTGCCTTGTCCTACAGCGGCGTCCTCTACATTGCGGAGACGGATGAGAAGAAAATCCACCGCATTCGACAGGTAATCTTCAGAACACACATGGCATATTCATGCACTTTCATGTCATTTCCTGATTATCAGATGAGCTCTTTTCAATCAGTAATAGGCCATAGGGATAGACTGGTTATTGGATCAGATATTCAGCATTTTTCTGATTATCTGTATTGTTATTTTTTTATTTTTAATCCAAATACAGATAAAATAAATGAATTTAAAAATACTACTTCGGCTCTGATGCAGCCACCTCCCTCTACCACCACTCTGTAGTCTCGCTCAATGTCCTGCCAACAGCATCTGATTTACTTCACAAATAATAATTTTTTTTAAGATAATTAAATTTTTTGCAGCATTTAGTTTAACACATCCTTAAAGTCAGTGCCAGGCAGCGTTTCATTCTTCCTTTTAAACATACTCTTAAAGTACTCTTTTTCTTAAGTAAAAGTCATAGTACAAAAATATTAGTATCAAAATATACTTATACTAAGTACCAGAAGTGAAAGTGCAAAATTATATTATTGGATTATAATGATTGATGCATTAATGTGTTCATCACATTTATGTTATGTTTTAAGTGGAGTAAAACATACAATATAGTACAGTATATAAGTATAAAGTAGCATAGAATGGAAATACACAAGAATTAGTAGTACAAGTACTTCAAAACTTTACAAGCGTAAATGCACAGTAGAGTTACATTCCACCGTTAGTCTAAATTTTTACACTCAGATTTCATTCATTTTCATTTTTACTCCAAATCCTGTATACCGTGTTTAAAAATATCGTTTATCAGTTTACTTGATACTAATAATCTGTATCAGACCTGAAAAACACATTGTTCAATCCCTAGTAGCACTAGTAGTTGCATTTATTTTTAGAGAATTCCTTTTCCCCAGATAAAGGCACATTAGTCAAATAAAGGAAAGAGTTTTTTGTTTTTGGAATCTGTCTCTTTGTTTTTAAAATGTCTATTTCTGACTCTCATTCGACTAGGTATCAACTGATGGAGAAATTACCCATCTTGCTGGAGCACCATCTGACTGTGACTGCAAGGTAGTACACCAGAGCTGCTTCACATATACATTAGTTTAAATTAAGGAGGGCCATTTCCAGTCCTCCATGTCCTTCTTTTATATCTCAGTTGCATATCTTGATCTAGTCCCTTGTCATAGTACAGCTGTTTTGTCCATCAGCTCACCAAACCTACATACAGAGTATAGGTAGGAATCTAACCCCAATAAAATACAATGGTATGGTGACTACAGGTAGTGATGGCTCATTGTATTGCTGTATTTAGAATACAGTAGAATAAAAAAAATTAATTCATGAGAATTTCTTTTTCCTTTTCATTTCTGGTGGTGCCCACATCTCCTCTCTACTCCCTGTAACACATGCCACGTTGAATTATTCATTTAATGTTGTTTTCTGCTTCCCCCTTCTTTTCTGTCTTTGTTTCTTAATCTTCTCCCTCTCCCTACCTCCATCTGTCCTGCAGAATGATGCCAACTGTGACTGCTATCAAAGTGGGGATGGATATGCTAAAGACGCAAGGCTTAATTGTCCCTCGTCTTTGGTGGTGTCTCCGGATGGGACACTGTACATGGCTGATCTAGGAAACATCCGGATTCGAGCCGTACGACGCAATCAACCACCTACTGGTATGTACAGTATACACACATACATTCTCTAGATGCCGTCATTCTATACAGTGAGGTCAAGTTTCAAACAACAATGAAATGTCTACTATGGAGATGATGGACATCATCACACATAAATACGATTGGCCTCATTGGATTCACAGAAGTCTGAGCTTTCCAGTCATGCCCAATATTTATGGAATTCCAACACTGTTTAGAGATCCCAGTATGCAGAATACACTAGGCAATAGTAGTTGACTGATATGGGTTTTTCAATAGCGGACATTTTTTATTTATCAGCCTCGGGAGGACAGACATTGGCTGATGCCGATTATCTCAAATTGCCAGAATATTATCTTGAGTAATTGGCCGACCAATGAATTAGTCCATAACTACTAGACAAAAATAACACATATACACGGCATTCAAAAGACTACATGAAAGTCGGCATGTGGGCAAGCAGAGTCAGGAGCAGAGTGGGTATCCATAGAACCAGTGGCCACACAGCAACATAGCTGACAATGTGTACTCACTATAGCAAACTGTGCATGTTCTCAAAGCAGCTTTTGGCTCTGCTTGCTGCAGTCTATACAAGCTAGTCTACCCATAGTAGACAGTGATCAAACAAACACAAATTATGAATAGAATGCATGGTTAATTGTAATAGCTGCTGGAAAGATGCATGAGTTTAATAAAGGAAAGTCTGTCTGTTTGTCTGTGTGTTTTCAGGCTCTCTAGCTTCAGGTCCAAGCTCCTATGAAGTGGCTTCTCCAGCCACTCAAGAGCTCTATGTGTTTGATGCGAATGGGACTCATCAGTTCACCATGTCTCTGGTCACTGGAGACTATAAATACAACTTCAGCTACAGGTTGGTGTCATCATTTGCAATGAAGATGACTGCGTTAGCAATACATCCCTTGCAAATTTTAACTTTGTCATTTTCCTCCCTGCGTTCCTTCACTCTCAGCAATGAGGAGGATGTAACTGCTGTGACAGACAGCAGCGGGAACACCCTCCGTATCCGTAGAGACACCAACAGGATGCCTGTACGTGTGGTTGCCCCTGACAATCAGGTGAGACAAGCAAGTCTTTTGACACGCTGCAGAACTTAACTTGATAGAATGAACAGATGCAGGCATTTGTTTTAACAAGAGGTTCCACCAGTTTGGGTTTTAGAAGGCCAGTTGTTTGTCCAAACATCATGTGTTTTTTCATTTCAAGCTGCAGTAGGTAACTTTTATAAATATAACTTTTTGTTATAATTTCTGAAACTTTCACTATATCCTGACAGTAGTACATGAAACAGATAATCTGTGTGTATATATAATATTTACTGTCTGAGATACCATGTAACCCTTCTTGTCTGTGGTGTGTGTTTTTGCATGTGTGTAGGTCATCTGGCTGACCATTGGGACAAATGGAGGTTTGAAGACTCTAACGGCTCAGGGTCAGGAACTGGTCTTGTTTAGTTACCATGGCAACAGCGGCTTGCTGGCTACCAAGAGCATCCAGATAGGCTGGACTACCTTCTATGAGTGAGCAGAGTGATTGTGTTTATGTTTGAATACATGTGCTGCAACTGTATGTGCTGATGGAAGAATGAATGATCGAATTTTTAAATGTCAAAAGCCATTTACAAATATATTGGCCAAGTTACTGAGAATAATATCAGCTCTTAATGGTTTTATAGCATTGGTGAAATACTTTTGACAGAATAACATCACCTATTGTGATCTGCACCTGCTTAAGCTAATGGTAGGCTGTTTCTATAGTTCTAAGTTCTAAGTTTATGTTGAGACACTGAAGAATTAATCTTATCTCAAGAGACATAAAATAATTGAAAACTTACTTTAATAACTGAGTAGAAACTCACTGAATTTAAAGATCCCCTCCATACATGTATTAATACATACACTAATAGGCTGAAACAATATTGTGTGTCTGATGTGTTTTTTTAAAAAAGGTTTTAAAAATCTTTTTTTTAAATTTCCAAATTAATTAAAATTAAGCCATCTATTCCTTCTGCCTCATTAAAAATTCCAGAATGTCTGAATATGCAACGGTTAATGAAATGATGTCTCCTACTTCAGTCCATTCTCTGTGTATGTGCACTGGTGGCTTCCAGTTAATACATCACACTGTACAAGTTGCATACTGGTCCAAACTATTTGTGATGTCACAAATCATGCTCATATCCTTCAAATCAGATTTTCAATGAGCACAGAGAAACTTTCCACTTTCAGCAGATGAATGTAAAAACATCCATCCTTCTAGTGTCAAACTCTGCGCAGACATCATTCAAACAGCACACTGTAGGAACAAGAAGAAAACATTTTTTTTATTGGAGGGGGACTTTACTTCTTCCAATTAAATTCATTAATTTCAAGTCATTACTCTAACACATTAGAGTAATTGCAGCTAATGTGCCTTTATTCCTCCCTCCGTGCATCCTGTCCTTGTAGCTATGACAGTGAGGGTCGTCTGACTAATGTGACCTTCCCCACCGGCGTGGTGACCAATCTCCACGGCGACATGTCGTCAGGGGCTGTTGCTGTGGACATTGAGACGTCAGGGAGGGATGAGGACGTTTCCATAACAACCAACTTGTCATCAATAGACTCCTTCTACACTCTGGTGCAGGGTAAGCAGCTTACACAAACGTTTGTGACAGAGCAAGGAAGAAAGTTTTCCAGCAAGCGTGTATTTCTCTCACAAGTGCCTTTTTAATGTGAATAACACTTTCCCTGTAAAAGTTAACCCTGTGTGTTCCCTATTCAACATTTTTGAACATCATATTGACCAATTGACCAATGGGGCAGCTGTAGCTGAGGTGGTAGAGCTGGTCATCCACTAATCCGAAGGTTTAGTGGTGAACTAGAGACTGGGTCATGGGCGGCCGAGGGTCATTGATGCACATAGGGAGCGAAGGTGAGCTAATGTAGCTCAGACTGCTGAAAAAGGTAATGCTGGTTCTGATAGAAAGTTGTCAGAACACACAGTGGATCACAGTTTGTTGCGTTGCAAGGAAAAAATGTTCACTTGCTGCCTAATATAGCCCAGCCACTGATGCCATGATAACGAGATAATCAGTGTTATTCACTTCACCAGTCAGTGCTCATAATGTTATGGCTGATCGGTGTATGTTATCCCAATAATTTATGTTGGGCTAGTAGTAAAAGTGGGCGGGCCGAGGCACATTACACCCACCCACAATGTTGCACCAGTTCCCAATATGTGCCTTTCTTCTAATCAGTAACCATTAACTACTTACCTACTACTTACTTAGCAGAAACAAAGGAAAGATCTACCAATTAAACATGTTTTGGGGGGAGATTTTGATTTATGTGCTCATGAGGACTTCTTGATAATGTGCACATGTAAATCTTGTTAAAGATGTGTGCAGAGTTTAATTGCTGTTTGTGGTCATGAACGTCTTCACAATGTGTGATGTTACTGACCCATCCTTCTCCTATAATACAGCATTCCAAACAGCTTTGTTTTCATTGATTCTGTGTGGCATCCTAGAGGTTTGATGTATGCTGAAACTGCAATAATAATAAGTGCAACTGAAATAATTTACAAATTTTTTTAAACATAGTTAACATGCATAAATGTAGATGTAGACCACCAACTGGCATAAGCTACTGCCAGGGGCCGTAACCCAAAACACACAATAGAAGCCAGCAAGTCTATTCACTTTTACTTTTCATTAAATTTTTAATTCTTTTTTCCTGTGGATTGTGTGAGACATACAAGTAAACCACAGCAGTGCCTTGTGTTACAGTTGATAATGAAAGTTGTAAAGTGCATTTGTACCTTTTAAGAATAGACCTGAGATGAGGAAGTGAGTTATGGATTTATCTGACAGTGCGTCTCCTCTGATAATTCTAGATTTGAGGGGAACTGCAAAAGGGGAAAAAAATGCAAGTTTAACCATCCTCATCATCTTTCATGTCAGACATTCGGCCTAAATGGCGAGGGAAAACAATAATTTAACAATGATGCCCTTGTTAAATCTGAACTAATGAGCCATTTGAAGCGAGGCCTCAAGTGGCCGGCAGTGATTTGTTTCAGAGAAAGCTACATTTGCCCAGAGTGTGAAGGAAAACAGAGCAGATTCTTCCTCACAGCAGAGCACTATTGATTGGAATGTAATAAGTTATTCAAAGCCATTGACAAGTGTAGCATTCCTCTCCATCAATTCATGTACATTATTTATCATTTCGCCTCCTCACCATCATCTAAACTGTACAGCATGCCAGTGTGTGAGTGGTCTAGGTAATGTGAAATCACATTATCAGGTGTATAGGTGTAGCCCAGAAATGGTAAATAGACTTGCTGTATGTTGTCATTTTGATGTTGTGAAATGCAGTGTGAAAGCAGGGGAAACATGTTTCTAATGTAGGGCTTGACAGTGATGCTGCACACAGACAAATACCAACCCAGTCTTATATAAAAAACCCTGGCTACGTTGGTCCAAAGTGCAAAAACGGTAGGGGTGTTACAAATAATGCCCTTGAATGTATGACTGTTACATTTTTCTGCCTAATTCTTTTCCTATTGGTTTGCGTCCCAAATCACATGAACTTTCAAGAATTCCGCCGTTGAGAACAAGAAAACATGGCGGGACATTCTCTCATTTTTTGTGAAAAATATTTTGATTAGTTTCTGCATAAAAATGCGTTTTAATTACCATTTCTAGCCGAGAAATATATATTTTATTTCATATATTCCCTTCAGTGAATGTACATATATCACTCGCTTGCTCGTTGTTGCGAGATTTTCAGATCTCGCCAGGAATAATGTGAAACTGAAACGTTTTGGGTTGCTATGGACGCTGCTGATCGCCTAGCATAGCCTGTGGCCCCAAAATTCCACATAGTGGAGAAATTAAATATCTCTTGTCTTAAAAATATTTTGTTTATAATACAGCACTACAGTAATTGATGTCAAATATGTCAAGTTAATAATCACGCCTTCAGTTATGAAGTTATTTTTGATAGCGGAAGTAGCAACATTGCCGTTACTATTGGAGATGAGGACAGTTCGCTTCGTCACGCGAGCAGAGCAGTTGGCGCGCTGGTCTCCTTTTTTAGTTAAAAATCTTCATTAAACAAACATTGTTGTCTTTCTTCTTAGCATAGATCATATACATGATGCAGTATAATTATTTATTAGACAGTGTGTGATTATTGTGATATATTGGGTAGATATGTTTTTCACAACCCCTAAAAATGAAGGAACACCAACTGGGTACTGAAAGAGGGGTCTAGGGAGTTGTAAAGTCTTTAAAAAAAAAATCCAGGAAGTTGTAAATACTTAATTGTGATGTGGCATTCCAGGGTGTTGAGGGGATATCAAACACATTTTGGCATCAGACGTTTAAATATTGTCTTGTTCAATGGGGGGATTTTTATTTTTAACCCATAACCCTGCACCTTGATCATACTTAAGCAATTACAGGCTTAAAAAATTTATCATAAAAGTACAAGTACCCAAAAAAATTACTTCTCAAAGTACACAAGTTTTCATGTGGCCTTAATTACCCTTGATTATGGCAAACTATTTCTTTAGGAAAAGTACTTTGCTTAGTTGTTAAGAAGACAATAAGTCAAAGAGGAAATCATTGTACCTGATGGTACTGTATATCAGAAGAAAGGAGGAAGAAGTAAAAATGTCTATAGCCTGGAGAGCCTCTATTCACACACAACACACCACACACACACACACACACACACAGCCATTAGTCCTGTGGTAGGTCAAGGGGGGACCTAATTAAAAGAGGCTGGGATGTTAATACCATTAGCAGGTTTCAAACACTGCCCGCAGAAATTAAATGTGGCTGTTGTATCCCCTTTATCTGTCTCCTTCTCTGTGACATTCTTGTTCTCCTCTCTTTTGTCTTTTTTTTTTCTTCATTCGTAGTTCTGCTAAGTTTTTTTAATATTATGGTGTTGAATAAGATGCTTTGACATTTGCCGACAGTGAAAACACTAAATCAAATGAGGTATGTTAGGTTAATTCATGTATGGTAGTCGCTGTCGTTCTCTCATATAGACCAGCTTCGTAACAGCTACAGGGTGGGCAATGACCCATTCACCTGAGGGTCATCTACGCTAATGGGAAATGACACACAACTACTAAGACAGAGCCCTCATATACTTGCAGGTATGGACATACCCCTGAGTGGTGGATTAATCGGCTGTTCATATTGTAAAAGTAATTCTGTTACATGATGT